ACTCCAAACCAACAGATACAGATACTAATCCGGAAAAAAAATCCCCCCCCAGTACCAACAATACCACCAGTCCGATAACATTCTTCTTTGCAAATATACAGGGTCTAAAGCTACCAACAAACAACAAAATACCTTTCATCCGTGGACTGCTTGCAGAGGCAAAGGCAATGTTCGCGGCTTTCATTGAGACCCACATAAAGGATCACTTGGACAACGAAATATGGATCCCAGGTTACAACCTATACAGATGTGACAGAGGAACAGGCAAAAGGGGGGGTTGGCCTGTACATTGCAGAGTCACTTTGTTTGCACAGAACTGCTAAATGCCTCAAATGATGTAGTGGAAGTTTTAGCAGTAAAGGTCGAGAACCAAAACCTAGTCATTGTGGTAGTCTACAAGCCTCCGGATGCAACATCCCAGCAATTCCAGGAAACAGTTGTTAAAAATTGACCACTGTCTGGAAAACCTTCCAGCTCCTGCACCCAACATCTTGCTCCTGGGGGATTTCAACTTAAGCACCTAAAATGGAGGAATATAGCAAATAATATTGTTGCAGTAAATAACACCAGGAGGCAGCTCTGATGAAAACTCACACTCACGCGAGCTTTTAAATCTCTGCACAAAATTCAATTTAAACCAGCAAATAATAGAGCCTACTAGACTGGAGAAATACACTAGACCTCATCTTCACTAACAATGATGATCTGATAAGAAATGTCACCATATCAAAAAACAATATACTCAGATCACAACATAATTGAGGTTCAGTCATGTATGCGCGGAGCCCCAGACCGACATAATGAGATTAGTCATGAGGGAGCCTTCACCAAATTCAACTTCAATAACAAAAACATAAAGTGGGACCAAGTAAACCAAGTCCTAACCGATATAAGCTGGGAAGATATACTAAGCAACACAGACCCCAACTTATGCCTAGAACAGATTAACTCGGTGGCACTCGATGTATGCACAAGGCTTATTCCTCTAAGAAAAAGGAGGAGTAGATGTAAAACAGAAAGAGACAGGCGCTCCCTTTACAGGCGAAGGAAAAGAATAACAGAACGGCTAAAAGAGGTCAATATATCTGAAATGCGTAGGGAGACACTGGTCAGAGAAATAGCAAGCATCCAACTTAAGCTAAAAGAATCCTTTAGGAGTCAGGAATCGCGGGAAGAACTAAAAGCCATAAATGAAATCGAAAGAAACCCAAAGTACTTCTTCTCCTATGCCAAATCAAAATCGAGAACAACGTCCAGTATTGAGCCCCTACTTAAACAAGATGGGTCCTACACAGATGACAGCAAGGAAATGAGTGAGCTACTCAAGTCCCAATATGACTCAGTTTTTAGCAAGCCGCTAACCAGACTGAGAGTCGAAGATCAAATGAAATTTTTTACGAGAGAGCCACAAAATTTGATTAACACAAGCCTATCCGATGTTATCCTGATGCCAAATGACTTCGAACAGGCGATAAATGACATGCCCATGCACTCTGCCCCAGGGCCAGACTCATGGAACTCTGTGTTCATCAAGAACTGCAAGAAGCCCCTATCACGAGCCTTTTCCATCCTATGGAGAGGGAGCATGGACACGGGGGTCGTCCCACAGTTACTAAAAACAACAGACATAGCCCCACTCCACAAAGGGGGCAGTAAAGCAACAGCAAAGAACTACAGACCAATAGCACTAACATCCCATATCATAAAAACTTTGAAAGGGTCCTAAGAAGCAAGATCACCACCCATCTGAAACCCATCAGTTACACAACCCAGGGCAACATGGGTTTAGAACAGGTCGCTCCTGTCTGTCTCAACTATTGGATCACTACGACAAGGTCCTAAATGCACTAGAAGACAAAAAGAATGCAGATGTAATATATACAGACTTTGCAAAAGCCTTCGACAAGTGTGACCATGGCGTAATAGCGCACAAAATGCGTGCTAAAGGAATAACAGGAAAAGTCGGTCGATGGATCTATAATTTCCTCACTAACAGAACACAGAGGTAGTCGTCAACAGAGTAAAGTCCGAGGCAGCTACGGTGAAAAGCTCTGTTCCACAAGGCACAGTACTCGCTCCCATCTTGTTCCTCATCCTCATATCCGACATAGACAAGGATGTCAGCCACAGCACCGTGTCTTCCTTTGCAGATGACACCCGAATCTGCATGACAGTGTCTTCCATTGCAGACACTGCAAAGCTCCAGGCGGACATCAACCAAATCTTTCAGTGGCTGCAGAAAACAATATGAGTTCAACGATGAGAAATTTCAATTACTCAGATATGGTAAACATGAGGAAATTAAATCTTCATCAGAGTACAAAACAAATTCTGGCCACAAAATAGAGCGAAACACCAACGTCAAAGACCTGGGAGTGATCATGTCGGAGGATCTCACCTTCAAGGACCATAACATTGTATCAATCGCATCTGCTAGAAAAATGACAGGATGGATAATGAGAACCTTCAAAACTAGGGGGCCAAGCCCATGATGACACTCTTCAGGTCACTTGTTCTATCTAGGCTGGAATATTGCTGCACACTAACAGCACCTTTCAAGGCAGGTGAAATTGCCGACCTAGAAAATGTACAGAGAACTTTCACGGCGCGCATAACGGAGATAAAACACCTCAATTATTGGGAGCGCTTGAGGTTCCTAAACCTGTATTCCCTGGAACGCAGGAGGGAGAGATACATGATTATATACACCTGGAAAATCCTAGAGGGACTAGTACCGAACTTGCAAACGAAAATCACTCACTACGAAAGCAAAGACCTTGGCAGACGATGCACCATCCCCCCAATGAAAAGCAGGGGTGTCACTAGCACGTTAGGAGACCATACAATAAGTGTCAGGGGCCCGAGACTGTTCAACTGCCTCCCAGCACACATAAGGGGGATTACCAACAGACCCCTGGCAGTCTTCAAGCTGGCACTGGACAAGCACCTAAAGTCAGTTCCGGATCAGCCGGGCTGTGGCTCGTACGTTGGTTTGCGTGCAGCCAGCAGCAACAGCCTGGTTGATCAGGCTCTGATCCACCAGGAGGCCTGGTCACAGACCGGGCCGCGGGGGCGTTGACCCCCGGAACTCTCTCCAGGTAAACTCCAGGTACGTCAAAAACCCTGGGTCATAAGCCGTACTAGTACGGCCGAAGCCCTCAAAGGATTAAACACCACGTCATAACTTTGTTTTTTGCTAATTTTGTACCTATGAAATCCCCAAAATTCTCATGTACATATTACTTTCTTTCAAAATGCTTTAAAAAATTTTTTTTTCAATAAACTGGCCGTATCCCACCAAGGCAGGGTGGCCCAAAAAGAAAAACGAAAGTTTCTCTTTTTAAATTTAGTAATTTATACAAGAGAAAGAGTTACTAGCCCCTTGCCCCCGGCATTTTAGTCGCCTCTTACAACACGCATGGCTTACGGAGGAAGAATTCTGTTCCGCTTCCCCATGGAGATAAGAGGAAATAAACAAGAACAAGAACTAGAAAGAAAATAGCAGAAAACCCAGAGGGGTGTGTATATATATACTTGTACATGTATGTGTAGTGTGACCTAAGTGTAAGCAGAAGTAGAAAGACGTACCTGAAATCTTGCATGTTTTCTTTCTTTCAACACACCGGCCGTATCCCACTGAGGCGGGGTGGCCCAAAAGGAAAAATGTAAGTTTCCCCTTTTACATTTAGTAATATATACAGGAGAAGGGGTTACTAGCCTCTTGCTCCTGGCATTTTAGTCGCCTCTTACAACACGCATGGCTTACGGAGGAAGAATTCTGTTCCACTTACCCATGGAGATAGGAGGAAATAAACAAGAACAAGAACTAGAAAGAAAATAGCAGAAAACCCAGAGGGGTGTGTATATATATACTTGTACATGTATGTGTAGTGTGACCTAAGTGTAAGTAGAAGTAGAAAGACGTACCTGAAATCTTGCATGTTTACGAGACAAAAAAAAAAGGACACCAGCAATCCTACCATCATGTAAACAATTACAGGCTTTTGTTTTATACTCACTTGGGAGGATGGTAGTACCTCCCTGGATGGTTGCTGTTTACCAACCTACTACCTAATTAAAAATTATTTATGGATGTAAAATTAATTAAAAGACTTTTCTTAATTTTTTTTTAATTTTATAAGGGCACAAACTGTTTTATGGTATTGCTTCCAAAATTCGGATGTTACTAATTGTAATGCCTCCTATATTCATAAGGATTCACTGAAATTAGGAAAAAAAATGAAAATCTATTTCTTTAAAACACACTGCATATGGAAGTTAAAATGAATGGGCTTCTAGTTCGTCTGGTTATGGCTCTGATGTCAGCATGATTACAATTGGATATAATTACTACTTTACAATCAAAACAAAGCCACTTATTAATCAAAGCATTCAAGCAAGCTACCATAATTCTAAAACTTACATCTTTTATCTGGCTAATCAGGAAACAAATAAAATTCAGTGTATCTAATTCTCCGTGAACCCTTTCTAATTACCCGATTCCTTGACCTCAGGTTAAGAACCCCCCCGTCATACTGGAATAAGAACTGTTAAGAAATACATAGGAATCTAAAGGTAAGTGCACACTGAATACAATTAGAAATTTGAAAGATTTACATGTCATCTTACATGGATCATGAAACAAAAAGGATAAACCATCAATCCTGCAAGTGTATAAAGAGAGACATATGTGCTCACCAGTGAACATATCATCTGCTGCTTGTGTCTTCTTTATACACCATATGTAATGTACTAAGTACTCTGTGTGAATTGCAAATCCTCTAGCTTGATGGTATTGTATATCTTTTGTCTACAACTGGAAATTGTTTAATGGGTTCCTGTTTCACATTCTGAATATGTCAAAATGGTAGTGCTTCTCTTCATGGTTACTATCTATCTGCATACTATCTATGCAAAGGTCAATTATGTATTAATGACTTTTCTGTGATGCTAAATTTAATAAAGTACTACATAAAAAAGTTATCTGGAACATTACTAACTTGGTTAAGTCTCCAGCTGTCACATCATGTATGAGAAGATAAAACTTGAGAATATTTGGAGAAAACCACTTGGGGAAACGTGCAGGTGTCTGATGAAGTTGCTGGTGTTGGTACTGAGACAGTCGGTTAAGTTGGTCCATCGGATTTTCACTTGTTGATGCTACTACCTGATTAAAACAAATACAAATAGCAAATATATATATAACATAACTCAAACTGCAATTTTACTTAGTGTGGAAGCTGAGCTCCAGCTCGTAGGCTCACCTCTGTGTTAAATTAATTTGAAACCTTGTGAATTTTAGTAACAGGTTTCACGTAACAGGTTTCACAAGCACACAAAATTTGTTATGTTACAAAACATAGTAGCTGATGTTTGTAAAAAATAATGAATTGAGTACCATGATAATAAGTTGTCTGTCATAGAAAAAAATAAAATACATATGAAGTACTGTCCTCCAAATGGTAAAGGCATTTGCCAAAGAGTTAGAGAGAGTCAATTTTGAAATGGTCTGAACCAAGGTCATAATTAAATGAAAAAGGACGTGTGCAAACGTTTGGATCCTGGGACCTTGTTCACTACTATGATACTAAGGTTACAAGAAATACAGTAAACAAAACCATGATTCATATGAGGGAAGAGACCAGGTCAAATATAATCAGCAGTTAGGTCAGGTTTAAGCCAAGTAGAAGTTTTTTTTTTTTTAACAAGTTGGCTGTCTCCCACTGAGGCAGGGTGACCCAAAAAGACAGAAAATCCCCAAAAAGAAAATACTTTCATCATCATTCAACACTTTCACCTCACTCACACATAATCACTGTTTTTGCAGAGGTGCTCAGAATACAACAGTTTAGAAGCATATACGTATAAAGATACACAACATATCCCTCCAAACTGCCAATATCCCGAACCCCTCCTTTAACCCTTTGACTGTTTCAGGCCCCACTCTGAAACTGTCATTCTATGTCGCTCAATTTTTGAAAAAAAAAAAAAAAAAAAAAAAAAAATTTTTTTTCTTATGAAATGATAGAGAATCTTTTCTCAATGGTAATGACACCAAAAGTTCGAAATTTGGTCGAAAACTCATGGAATTATGCTCCCGCGAAGTTAGCTGTCTTGGCGACATATGCGTATCGGCGATTTCGCCGACTTTGAGCCCTATTTTCAGCCAATTCCTTTGTTCCAGTTGACCAAACTCATAGCTATTTCTTTAGAACTCCATTTTATCTATCAGCTGAATACAAGAAACCTCCCATTTACTAATTTAGACTACCCAATATGGTGGTCAGAAATTGGCAATTTGGCCAATTTCACGCAAACTAAAAAAGATGCCAATTTCAAAATAGGGTCCAGAATAAACAAGGTAGACATTCGTGGCACTAAAATACCATATGCTCTGTTCATTAGTCACATCTCTAGGCCCCTCTTTTATTATTATTGCTTTCTATTTTGATTTTTTATTCATAAAAAAAATACAAAATTTACTGTTATGCAGACTACTGCATTATTGTAAAAATGGTATAAATAATATCAGTGCACTAGTGAAAGAATATTAGACTCCCCAGTTGACGTGTATTGGACGTGTGGTGTGATTTATTTACTCCTGAACATTGGTAAAAATCGAACATTTCCGCTACTTTGAGCTCAGTTTCAAGGTCGTTTTCATCGTCAAAGTAATGAAAATCATCTCTATTTCTGTAATATGTTTTCCATTTTATCACCTAAGACCATGAAAACGCGAATACAACGATAAATACTATACGAAAATACACCTCAAAGTTGGCGTTTTATTCTAAAAAAACGATCAGAGTTTTTTTTTTTCTCATTATGCAATGTGTGCTGCAGGATTTTTTTTATGTGGTACACACTGACCACACAGACCCATTCTCTCACATGTGGGCCTACCAGCTTTCTCCCGCTTGATTTGAAGCCGCTAGAATTATTGAGTATATATACGTCAGAAACATTGGCTCGTAAGACGTATTTATACGTCGAAAACAGTCAAAGGGTTAAAGTGCAGGCACTGAACTTCCCATTTCCAGGACTCAAGTCCGGCTATATAAAAATAACCGGTTTCCCTGAATCCCTTCACTAAATATTACCCTGCTCACACTCCAACAGCTCGTCAGGTCCCAAATACCATTCGTCTCCATTCACTCCTATCTAACACGCTCACGCATGCTTGCTGAAAGTCCAAGCCCCTCGCCTACAAAACCTCCTTTAACCCCTCCCTCCAACCTTTTCAAGGACGACCCCTACCCCGCCTTCCTTCCCCTACAGATTTATACACTCTCCATGTCATTCTACTTTGATCCATTCTCTCTAAATGACCAAACCACCTCAACAACCCCTCTTCAGCCGTCTGACTAATACTTTTATTAACTCCACACCTTCTCCTAATTTCCACACTCCGAATTTTCTGCACAATATTTACACCACACATTGCCCTTAGACAGGACATCTCCACTGCCTCCAACTGCCTCCTTGCTGAAGCATTTACAACCCAAGCTTCACACCCATATAAGAGTGTTGGTACTACTATACTTTCATACAGCCCCTTCTTTGCCTCCACAGATAATGTTTTTTGTCTCCATATATACCTCAACACACCACTCGCCTTTTTTCCTTCATCAATTCTATGATTAACCTCATCCTTCATGAATCCATCCGCTGACACGTCAACTCCCAAATATCTGAAAACATTCACTTCTTCCATACTCCTCCTCCTCCCCAATTTGATATCCAAATTTTCTTTATCTAAATCATTTGATACCTTCATCACCTTACTCTTTTCTATGTTCACTTTCAACTTTCTACTTTTACACACACTCCCAAACTCGTCCACTAACCTTTGCAATATTTCTTTAGAATCTCCCATAAGCACAGTATCACCAGCAAAAAGTAACAGTGTCACTTCCCATTTTGTATTTTATTCCCCATAATTTAATCCCACCCCTCTCCCTAACACTCTAACATTTACTTCTTTTACAACCCCATCTATAAATACAGTGGACCCCCGCCTTACGAACGCATCGCGTTACCTTAATTCTGCCATACGAAGCATTTGAACGCAAAAATTTTGCCTCGCCTCACGATAAAAAACTCGCCTTACGTGATTCGTCCAGGACGCTTCCCACGTGTGACCTCAGCTGCCCCGTGGGTGACAGTGTTTATAAGCCAGCCAGTGCGGTCGCAATTAAGCATACATTCAGTACATTTCATATTATCACAGTGTTTTTAGTGCTTGTAACTGCAAAATAAGTCACCATGGACCCCAAGAAAGCTTCTAGTGCCAACCCTGTGGTAAAAAGGGTGAAAATTACTATGGAAATGAAGAAAGAGATAATTGCTAAGTACGCAAGTGGAGTGCGTGTCTCGGAGCTGGCCAGTTTGTATACCAAACCCCAATCAACCATCGCTACTATCTTGGCCAACAAAACGGCAATCAGGAAAGCTGTTCTTGCCAAAGGTGCAACTTTGTTTTCGAAACAGAGATCGCAAGCGATAGATGTTGAGAGACTGTTACTGGTGTGGATAAACGAAAAACAGATAGCAGGAGATAGCATCTCTCAAGCAATCATATGTGAAAAGGCTAGGAAGTTGCATGACAATTTAATTAGAAAAATGCCTGCAACTAGTGATGTGAGTGAATTTAAGGCCAGCAAAGGTTGGTTTGAGAGATTTAAGAATCATAATGGCATACATAGTGTGATAAGGCATGGTGAGGCTGCCAGTTCGGACCAAAAAGCAGCTGAAAAGTATGTGAAGGAATTCAAGAAGTATATAGTGAAGAATTGAAACCTGAACAAGTGTTTAATTGCAATGAAACAGGCCTGTTTTGGAAGAAAATGCCAAGCAGGACCTACATTACTCAGGAGTAAAAGGCACTCCCAGGACATAAACCTATGAAAGACAGGCTTACTCTTTTGATGTGTGCTGATGCTAGTGGTGATTGCAAAGTGAAGCCTTTATTGGTGAATCACTCTGAAACTCCCAGAGCGTTCAGGCAAAACAATGTCCTCAAGGCTAATTTGTGTGTGCTGTGGAGGGCAAACAGTAAGGCATGGGTCACTAGGGACTTTCTATGATTGGTTACACCATGCATTTGCCCCCACTGTGAAAAATTACCTAATGGAAAAGAAATTGAACCTTAAGTGCCTCCTGGTATTAGACAATGCTCCTGGTCATCCTTCAGACTTGGCAGAGCGACTTTCTGGGGACATGAGCTTTATTAAGGTCAAGTTTTTGCCTCCTAATACCACTCTTCTCCTGCAGCCCATGGACCAGCAGGTCATTTCAAACTTCAAAAAACTCTACACAAAAGCTATGTTTCAAAAGTGCTTTGAAGTGACCTCAGACACTCAACTGACTCTCTTAGAGTTTTGGAAAGATCACTTTAGTATCCTCAGTTCTGTAAACCTTATAGGTAAGGCTTGGGAGGGAGTGACTAAGAGGACCTTGAACTCTGCTTGGAAGAAACTGTGGCCACAATGTGTAGAAGAAAGGGATTTTGAAGGGTTTGGGGCTAACCCTGAGAAGTGCATGCCAGTTGTGGAATCCATTGTGGCATTAGGGAAGTCCTTGGGGTTGGAGGTTAGTGGGGAGGACGTGGAAGAGTTGGTGGAGGAGGACATTGAAGAACTAACCACTGGTGAGCTGCAAGATCATCTTCAACAGCAAGAGGCCAGACCTGAGGAAACTGCTTCAGAGGAGGGGAGAGAGAAATTGAGGAAGTTGCCTACTTCAAAGATTAAGGAAATGTGTGCAAAGTGGGTTGAACTGCAAACCTTTACGGATGAAAATCACCCTGACACAGCTACTGCAAGCTGTGTTGGCAACCTGTACAATGACAATGTTATGGCCCATTTTAGGAAAGTCTTAAAGGAACGGGAGGTACAGAGCTCTACGGACAGATTTGTTGTGCGACAGAGGTCCAGTAACTCTCAAGCTGGTCCTAGTGGCATTAAAAGAAGAAGGGAAGTAACCCCGGAAAAGGACTTGCTACCTCAAGTCCTAATGGAAGGGGATTCCCCTTCTAAACAATAACTTCCATACTCCCCCCTCCTCCCATCCCATCAATCATCACCAGATCTTCAATAAAGGTAAGTGTCATGTATTGTATTCCTAGTAGAGTAGTAATTGTGTATGTCTTCTTCAGTTTGTGTGTATTACCTCTTAAACTGTCCAAACATTTTAATGTTCAAATCCGTAGTGCTCCAAAAGTAGATCTACGTTTTTTTTTTTACATATTTTCAAATATAACAAAAAAAAAAAGTAGATAAAAGTTTTTTACACGTTTTCAAATGTAAAAAAAAAAAAAAGATTACATTTTTTTTACATACTTTCAAATGTTCACACATCAACTCCCAAATATCTGAAAACATTCACTTCTTCCACACTCCTCCCCAATTTGATATCCAATTTTTCTTTATCTAAATCATTTGATACTCTCATCACCTTACTCTTTTCTATGTTCACTTTCAACTTTCTACCTTTACACACATTCCCAAATTCGTCCACTAACCTTTGCAATTTTTCTTTAGAATCTCCCATAAGCACAGTATCGTAAGTAAAAAGTAACTGTGTCAATTCCCATTTTGTATTTAATTCCCCATAATTTCATCCCACCCCTCTCCCGAACACCCTAGCATTTACTTCTTTTACAACCCCATCTATAAATATATTAAACAACCATGGTGACATTACACATCCCTGTCTAAGACCTACTTTTACCAGGAAGTAGTCTCCCTCTCTTCTACACACCCTAACCTGAGCCTCACTATCCTCATAAAAACTCTTTACAGCATTTAGTAACTTACCACCTATTCCATACACTTGCAACATCTGCCACATTGCTCCCCTATCCACTCTATCAAATGCCTTTTCTAAATCCATAAATGCAATAAAAACTTCCCTACCTTTATCTAAATACTGCTCGCATATATGCTTCAATGTAAACACTTGATCTACACATCACCTACCCACTCTAAAACCTCCTTGCTCATCCGCAATTCTACATTCTGTCTTGCCTCTAATTCTTTCAATAATAACCCTACCATACACTTTTCCTGGTATACTTAGTAAACTTATTCCTCTATAATTTTTACAATCTCTTTTGTCCCCCTTCCCTTTAAATAAGGGACTATACATGCTCTCCGCCAATCCCTAGGTACCTTCCCCTCTTTCATACATTTATTAAACAAAAATACCAACCACTCCAACACTATGTCCCCCCCTGCTTTTAACATTTCTGTAATGATCCCGTCAGTTCCAGCTGCTTTACCCCCTTTCATTCTAGTAATGCCTCATGCACCTCCCCCACACTCACATCCTGCTCTTCTTCACTCCTAAAAGATGATATACCTCCCTGACTAGTGCATGAAATTACCGCCTCCCTTTCTTCGTCGACATTTAAAAGTTCCTCAAAATATTCTCGCCATCTACCCAAAACCTCCATCTCCCCATCTACTAACTCCCCTTCTCTCTTTTTAACTGATAAATCCATTTGTTCCCTAGGCTTTCTTAACTTGTTTAACTCACTCCAAAATTTTTTCTTATTTTCATTAAAATTCCTTGACAGTACCTCTCCCACTAACATCTGCTCTCCTTTTGCACTCTCTCACCACTCTCTTCACCTTTCTTTTACTCTCCATATACTCTACTCTTCTTATAACACTTCTGCTTTGTAAATACCTCTCATAAGCTACCTTTTTCTCTTTTATCACACCCTTTACTTCATCACTCCACCAATCACTCCTCTTTCCTCCTGCACCCACCCTCCTATAGCCACAAACTTCTGCCCCACATTTTAATACTGCATTTTTAAAACTATTCCAACCCTCTTCAACCCCCCCCCCCCCACTACTCATACCTGCACCAGCCCACCTTTCTGCCAATAGTTGCTTATATTTCACCCGAACTTCCTCCTCCCTTAGTTTATACACCTTCACCTCCCTCTTACTTGTTGTTGACATTTTCCTCTTATCCCATCTACCTCTTACTCTAACTGTAGCTACAACTAGATAATGATCTGATATATCAGTTGCCCCTCTATAAACGTGTACATCCTGGAGCCTACCCATCAACCTTTTATCCACCAATACATAATCTAACAAACTACTTTCATTACGTGCTACATCATACCTTGTATATTTATTTATCCTCTTTTTCATAAAATATGCATTACTTATTACCAAACCTCTTTCTATACATAGCTCGATTAAAGGCTCCCCATTTTCATTTACCCCTGGCACCCCAAATTTACCTACTAATGTTTATAACATACAATATCTAGAGTATAATTGCTTATCACCCCAGGAGAGGTCTATCATGACTCACGAAATCGTAATGACATGACTGCCCACAAACCATGGTACAGGTGGGGCTTGAGCTTGCAACAAATCCCACAAGCATGGCTGTGACAAACTTAGCACAAGCCTCAAAGCCATCATCATGACTTACAAAACTGCAATAACATAACTGCAAACAAACCATGGTGCTGCTTGAACTCATGGCAAGTGAGTCATACTGTAAATCTTCAAGCCACTTGCCACAAGTTCAAGCCCCACCCATATAGTGGTTTGTTTGCAATTGTGTTATTACAGTTTCATGAGTCATGATGATGGCTTTGAGGGGACTTGAGCTAGTTTTGTCACAACCACACTGACGGGAGATTCATCTATAAAAACTTGCATTTATGGTCACAGTGAGGAGATCCATGCGAACCTCCCTATGGTGTATAAATATACCTAGTTGGATGAATCTTATTGCAGCCAGCCAGTCCAGTCGCTTATACACTGGCCTGGAGTTTTACAACTCACTTGCCGCGAGTTCAAGCCCCATGGCAGGTCTGATCACTTCTAAGAGTGATGTAATAGAGTACAGTCTCTCCTCACTTAACAACAGGGTTCCATTCCTAAAAGAAGGTTGGTAAGTGAATTAGTCATTAAGCGAGGAACATACTATAATGGTAGCGGGTTTGTATCAACCATCTTCAGATATTTTTTAATGTCACTTTTGCAACATTTATAACATTTGTGGTATATTTTTAAATGTTTATACAGTACAGCCTCTCCTCACTTAGTGACATGCTCGTTCACTGATGCCTCAGACTTACGACGGGCTCTCTGACCAGTATTCATACCTAAATCATGTATAATAGAGCTGATTTCCTCTATTCTGTTTATTACAATATACAGTACACTACTGTTTAACATTTAAAAATATATCAGAAATGTTATAAATGGTGCAAAGGTGACATTAAAACAATATCAAAGATGGTTCACACAAACTCGCTACAATTGTAGTATGCTCCTCATTTAGCGACGAATTCGTTTAACGATATGGTCTCAGGAATGGAACTCTGTTAAGTGAGGAGAGGCTGTAGTGTACTGTATATTGTAATAAACAGAACATTATGTAGGTTTGCATACTGGTTGGAGAGCTGGTCATAAGTCCAAGTTGTCGGTAAACGAATACATTGCAAAGTGAGGAGAGGCGGTATTACATAGTGTACAGAGCATTCTGTCCTGGCAAGATCTAATATTATGCTTGCACAGTACATGTATATTAATTTTTTATCACATTTTATTTAAGAGATCTTATAGATGCAAGCATTAACATTGGAAATTCATAATCAGAATGGTTTTAATAACATTTTTGAATCCCTCCCTTCACCAGAGATGAATCCTTTGTTTTTTAAAAACATGGTGTTATACCCCCGTTTTATGAGTGCATAACACAAAACTATTGATGGGTTGAAAGGCTGAGATGGTCTAAGGGTCTTCTGTACTTGGGATGCCTCAAAGCACTTGGAGTGAGTTTTTTGGAACAGAGAAGAGAGATGTATACCTGACAATATACATATACTCAGAAGATAACGGAAGAACCCCAAATTTCCACACTACCATAAATTACTAGACTGAAAAGTATGGTAGAAAGTGTAAAATAAATCTTGTAAAAAAGAAGGAGTACTACAGGCAGAGTAAGTGAAAACTATATTAACACCCATGTTGGACCAAATGTAACATTTTTCAAGAGGAAACTTGATCACTACCTTTGCCAAGTACCAGATCAACCATGATGAGATGGATACCTGGGTCAGCAACAGCTTGGTTGAAAAGGCAATCACAAAACTACAGGTTACACATACAATTAAACCTCAGTTCAGTGAGCCCACATTGGCCCTCTTCACATTCTTTCATTTCAAGACGAGAGTACTACCAGAATGCACGATAAGTTATAATGTACAGTACTAATTTGTAAAAGTGTCTTTAATTACTGGTACATAAACTTACCACAATGCATGCGATGTAATGCTTTGTAAATTCATGGTCTGAGGGATACTGAACATGAAGAAATGTATCACGCCAAGCTTCAAACCAGGGAGTTGTTGGTTGCAATTCTAGATCCAAAGCTTCACGAGTTCCAGAGGCCCCTACAGTCCTATAAGTAAACACTGTTGTATACTCTATACAATATTTAAGTATAAATACTAGAGTAATTGTATTTAAATAAGTAATAGAGTCTAACTGAAAAAAATTTGTCATGTACAGTAGATCGTCATTTAACATGGTTTTGTGTGGCAAGTTTTGGTTATAGCACTATTGAAGAACTGCAGCATATTTTTGTATAACACTTCATAAAATTAACTTAACACGGTTCAGTTTGTGGGAGAGGAAAAAATATGGAGCACGCGTACATCCCAGACACTCCCACCACCCCCATCCCAGCATTCACTCACACGTGTCCAGTTCCATTGTGTTAGGAACTAGCTGTGTTTGTGAATATTATTTTGATATTTTAATTGCCATATCCTGCATCTGCCAAGCAATCATGGCACCCAGTAGGCAAATCAGTGTTGCTGAAAGTGGCAAGAAAAGGTATAAGCATTTAAGTCTTAAGAGTTAACGAAGAAATTAGAGATATTAGACAAGAGATAGCCTGAGGTCTTAATGAAGTGACAGTTTGTACAATTAAAAAGAATAAGGTAAATATATACGGGTTTGTGTGATGAATAACTAACTGACTTGACTGGCTGACTTACCTGACTCTGAAACACTGTCTATTGCAGCTGATACCTTATCATCACCTGTATAATGTACTGTAGGGTAAAATAGCCCAGAAATCCATTACAGAATTTATGCACACTCTAGTACAACCATCAACTTCAGTACCAGAACCTCTACCATCCACCTCAGCCCAGTAGGGCCACACCATAATTCTCCACTCTCTTCACAATGATCGACAAACACCAGCACCCACAATTTAAGGTAAGAAATACTATTATTTCTGTGGCATTCGTAGTGTTAAGCAGTAAAAACATAATATATCATGACAATGAACTACAACTACATATTTACTTTTATTTTTGTAAGATCTGTTGGTCTAAAATTAGATCTAACAAAAATGATCCCAAATGGATGAACAATAGATTAAAACATCTCATTTGTCAAAAGAGAGGCATTATATATGCATATCAAAAGAGGGGATGGGCAGTTAAGAAATCAATATATTCAATTAAAGAGAGAAATAAAAAAAGGAATAAGAAAAGCTAAAAGGGATTATGAGGCTAAGGTCACAAGGGACTCGAAGACTAACCCAAAAGGGTTCTTACAGGTACACAAAAGTAAGATTAGGGACAAGATATGCCCACTTAAGAATAACTCAGGTCAGATCACTGACAGTGATAAGGATGTGTGTGAAATTTTCAATACTTACTTACTTCTCAGTTTTTACCCAGGAAGATACTAGCGAAATTCCAGAAATAATAAATTATGTAGAAGAGGCTGATAACAAACTATGCACGACTGGGGTAACTAGTGACATGGTCCTCAGACAAATAGATAAATTAAAACCTAACAAATCCCCAGGCCCTGATGAATTGTTTGCACAAGTTTTAATGGAATGTAAAAAGGAACTTAGCAAACCCATGGCTAATCTTTTCAACATATCACTACAAAATGGCATAGTGCCTGATAAGTGGAAAATGGCAAATGTAATACCTATTTATAAGGCAGGTGACAGGTCCTTAGCTTTGAACTATAGACCAATAAGCCTTACCTCCATAGTGGGAAAATTTATGGAATCAATAACTGATGAAACAATTCACAGCCATCTTGAAAGGCATAAATTGATTAATGTATCTGAACATGGTTTTACAAAGGGGCGTTCCTGTCTTACGAATTTACTAACTTTTTCACTTAGGTGTTTGAGGAGGTAGATTATGGTAATGAATATGATATTGTGTATATGGACTTCAGCAAGGTTTTCGATAGAGTTCCACACCAGAGGCTATTGAGGAAACTTAAGGCACACGGAATAGGAGGAGATATTTTTTCCTGGGTAGAGGCATGGTTGACAAATAGGCAGCAGAAAGTTTGCATAAATCGGGAGAAATCAGAACGGGGGCACGTCACAAGTGGTGTTCCTCAGGGGTCAGTGTTGGGCTGTTGTTGATCACAATTTACATAAACAACATAGATTAGGGAATAAATAGAGACATAAGCAAATTTGCTGATGACACCAAAATAGGCCATCCAATTTATTCTAATGAGGAAATCAGAGCACTCCAGGATGATTTGAATAGACTGATGCAGTGGTCAGAGAAGTGGCAGATGAAGTTTAATATAGACAAATGCAAAGTTCTAAATGTTGGACAGGAAAATAACCATGCCACATATAAACTAAATAATGTAGATCTTAATGCTAATGATTGCAAAAAGGATTTAGGAGTTCTGGTCAGCAGTAATCTAAAACCAAGACAACAGTGCATAAGTGTTTGCAATAAAGCTAACAGAATCCTTGGCTTCATATCAAGAAGTATAAAAAATGGAAGTCCTCTATATATCCTTGGTTAGGAATCTTTTAGATTATGCTGCACAGTTCTGGTCACCATATTACAGATTGGATATAAATGCACTGGAAAACGCACAGAAGAGGATGACGAAGTTGATCCCATGTATCAGAAATCTTTCCTATGAGGATAGACTAAGGACCCTGAATCTGCACTCTCTAGAAAGGCGTAGAATTAGGGGGGGGATATGATTGAGGTGTATAAATGGAAAACAGGAATAAATAAAGGGGATGTAAATAGCATGCTGAAAATTTCCAGCCAAGACAAGACTCGCAGCAATGGTTTCAAATTGGAAAAATTCAGATTCAGGAAGGATATAGGAAAGCACTGGTTTGGTAACAGGAGTTGTGGATGAGTGGAACGAACTCCCGAGTACCATCACAGAAGCTAAGACGTTGTGTAGTTTTAAAAATAAGTTAGATAAATACACGAGTGGGTGTGGGTGGGTGTGAGTTGGACCTGACCAGCTTGTGGTACTAGGTCTGATGCTGTGCTTCTTCCTTAAGTGGAAGTGACCTGACTAGGTGGGTCATTGGTCTAAGCTGGGGGGTGACATGAACCTGCTTTGCATGGGTCAGTAGGCCTGTTGCTGTGTTCCTTCTTTCTTATGTTCTTATGTCTAAAAAAAAGTTGTTTGGCTTTTTGGGGGGTTCCCAGAAATGTAACCCTATTTTTCCCATAATTTCTTCAGTGTGTCTAACACAGTTTTAACTACCACGGCGTTTTCAGGAACATAACTAGTGTTAAATGACGGTCTACTGTATTTATATCAATAAAATATGGGTATTAAAAAATACTGTGCTTCAGTGTAGAATGATATTCAAATCATTTATTTGTGCTCATCTAAAATACTGCAGTGTATCCAAATGATAAACTTGAAAAATTGCTGAGCTGTTACAAATACAAAAATCATTCCCTACCTCTAACAATGTAAAAAAAGCACCTTAATTATGGGAATACTTCACAGTTCTCAAGCATTAATTACTGAAATGCTGAAGATTGCCAAAATATACATATGAGTTTGGAAAAACTGCTTCTCAATTTACACATTATAAAGAATTCTTATTGGAATGACATGTATGGCTAGATGTGCACAGCAATTCTTACAAAAGCTTGCTAGGCACTATTATCTAACACCATCATACATTAGCAGGAAAATGCATACATACTAGGAAAACACCCAAAGTAAGAAATAAGAAGTCAACATCAACAACCAATAGCAAAACATATGCTGCAATTGTCAGGTTGCAAGAAAACACCTGCTAAACATAAGCAAACCTATTTATGTTATTTGTCTATTGTTGAGTAACTATAGATAAACAGTAAGTTAATTTACATTAATGTAGCCTAGAATAACAAATATTAAATTTTGGAGATGTTAAAATCAAGCAGAAATTAATGTGTAATTAGTACAAAAATAGCTAGTGTATTTGGATCACAGGTTGTATAAGTCAACATGTTGGCATATGCAGCAGTATTACACGACATGCCTGTGCTAGAGTAGAAAATAAACTATTGCATTGTACAGATAATGAAATGAAGTACCTGGTGATTGGTCTGTCCCAGGGTGTTGTGCTCACTACCTCACTCAGTAGTTTCTTGCCTAGGGTGGGCTGGGGTGGTCGTCGGTTCATATCTTCAAAAACCACACGAAGAGACCGAACAGGCACAGTGTTGCCAGATGGATCAGCAATACGTACTATAGAAGAACAAAACATACAGTACTGCACCAATAATTTCTTGGTTTAATCAATGGCATTAATTTTTCTTGAGCCTCTTTTAATTTCTTTGGGGACCACGTAATTTAATGAATCATCTGAGGTGACTGAGATTTTGTCTCCTCCAAGCTGGCCACTGGTGAAATGAGGATCAAATGGCCACTTCTGTGACATGATATATTGCAAGTGTGACTTTTTTTTAGCCATACAAAGGGATGACTGACAGTATAATGTTTTAAAATGAAACCCTATTTTTCTCTTTGCACCAAGCAAAAGTGATACATACAATAGTACAGTATTATCAAAGTATAGTGTATTTTACACAAAAAAACACCTAGGTTTTTGGGAACAAACATTTATTCAAATTCTAATTTAACAGACAAGTGTTAATTTCCATCGTTTTAGAATTTGCTATTACGAGATGTCCTACTTCTATTGGTCATTCAGTACTGTATGTACTGTGTCTGATATACATTCTCTGTATGTAATCAGTATGGTTGGCAAAGCACATTAAAGCTTCTTTATATTAAGAATTCAGTGTTTATTGCCCGACTGAGCTTAGTGCAGCTGTCATGAGATTGGAACATGTTTACAGCATAAAACAAGGGACCCTTGTAAAGTATAACAACAGCTGTTGTTTATGTTGTGCAAAAAGCAACAGAATACAGTGATGCCTCAGGATATGAATTTATTTTGTTCCAGAAGGCTGTTCGAGTGCCGATACCAAACGAATTTGTTCCCATAAAGAATAATGTAAATTAGATTAATCTGTTTCAGACCCCAAAAAATACACTTACAAAAGCATTTACATAAATACACTTACATAATTGTTCGAGTTTTGAGCTGTTCGTATCCCAAGGTACTACTGTAGTTTCACACACTGTTCAAATTTAATAATGAGTTTCTGGAAACTTCTCAGCGTAAGTGGTTGGCTAACAGTATACAGAATACCACAACACCAAGGGGCAAATTTCAAATAGCATAGTAATACTTAGAGCCATGTAATTTTAAAGTAAAAGCTTAAATTTACTCTGAAGCAAGCAGGATCTGGCAGCTCATGCTCACTCTAATAACAGTGCTTAAAATTCTGGAAATTTAACTTAAATGCTTCTTCAGCATATCAAAAACTTGTAGGTCAATACAAATATGGGCACTGTACTGTACGTGGAAATGCTTTATGCTATTTTCCTAAAATTACTAATTTGTAGTTACAGGAGTAGAGATATACTCATGGTGTCCTGTCTTTATCAATATGTTCAACATAATTTACATTTTCTTAAGTTTCCAATGGTGGTAGCTAGGGCTGTGGAGTTGGCACACAAAACCTTTGCCTCTGACTCCTATTCCTTTATTTATGGCACCTCCAACTCCTTTAATTACATTTTACCAATTCCATCTGTGACTCCAGTAACCCAAGAATTGCTTCCACCCTAGTGGTAACACTTACTACCTTCTCTCTCAAGTTTTTCCATTCTTCTACCACTCTATTTGTAAAGAAAAATTTTCTCGTATACCTTCAGCTCCATTTTTTCTTTATATATACATATATCTGTGGTCTTTCATCATAACTGTTTTAAGTAGTACTTAAAAACTTGTTTATTTATTCTTTAACATCCTTTTACAACCTTATATGCTGCCATCTCTTCCTATCAGACAGTATGGGCATCATTCTAAGCTCTTGGATTCATTGTGTACCTCTTATCTGGATTTTTTCTTATATGATCCATTTTTTTTAGATATGGCCAGCACACAGCAGCTGCATATTCAAATTTTGGCCTAATATATAATGAAAAAAGCTTTTTCAACAATTCTATATGCATATATTTTAAAACTAATTTACTGTTAGTAAGTGGAGCATATGCATTATTCACACATTTAATTATCTGACCTGCTAGTGACAATTTTCCATTAATAACAACTCCCATATTGCTTTCTTTGTATGATATTCCCAAAGTTTTGTCGCACAATTGATGGTCTTTATGTGGTCTAATTTCATTTTCTCCCATTTCCATTACATTATACATGTATTTATCAACATTAAATTGCCTCATGCACCTGCCAGGCTATTTGCTCAATTTAACCAAATCATCTTGTACAGATTTAGGCATTTTTATTGCTGATTTTGCACAAGATTTCTGAATGTGTAAATTCAAGAATTATGTGGATTAAAGTAAAGGTTGGATGCGAGAAGTGGGTCATAATAAGCGTGTATGCACTGGAGAAGAGAAGAATGCAGAGGAGAGAGAGAGATTTTGGGAGATGTTAAGTGAATGTATAGGAGCCTTTGAACCAAGTGAGAGAGTAATTGTGGTAGGGGACCTGAATGCTAAAGTAGGAGAAACTTTTAGAGAGGGTGTGGTAGGTAAGTTTGGGGTGCCAGGTGTAAATGATAATCGGAGCCCTTTGATTGAACTTTGTATAGAAAGGGGTTTAGTTATAGGTAATACATATTTTAAGAAAAAGAGGATAAATAAGTATACAAGATATGATGTAGGGCAAAATGACAGTAGTTTGTTGGATTATGTATTGGTAGATAAAAGACTGTTGAGTAGACTTCAGGATGTACATGTTTATAGAGGGGCCACAGATATATCAGATCACTTTCTAGTTGTAGCTACACAGAGTAAAAGGTAGATGGGATAGAAGGAGAATAGAAGTATCAGGGAAGAGAGAGGTGAAGGTTTATAAACTAAAAGAGGAGGTAGTTAGGGTAAGATATAAACAGCTATTGGAGGATAGATGGGCTAATGAGAGCATAGGCAATGGGGTCGAAGAGGTATGTGGTAGGTTTAAAAATGTAGTGTTAGAGTGTTCAGCAGAAGTTTGTGTGTTACTGGAAAGTGGTGTGCGGGAGGGAAGAGGAGCGATTGGTGGAATGATGATGTAAAGAGAGTAGTAAGGGAGAAAAAGTTAGCATATGAGAAGTTTTTACAAAGTAGAAGTGATGCAAGGAGGGAAGAGTATATGGAGAAAAAGAGAGAGATTAAGAGAGTGGTGAAGCAATGTAAAAGAAAGCAATGAGAGAGTGGGTGAGATGTTATCAACAAATTTTGTTGAAAATAAGAAAAAGTTTTGGGTGAGATTAACAAGTTAAGAAAGCCTAGAGAACAAATGGATTTGTCAGTTAAAAATAGGAGAGGAGAGTTATTAAATGGAGAGTTAGAGGTATTGGGAAGATGGCGGGAATATTTTGAGGAATTGTTAAATGTTGATGAAGATAGGGAAGCTGTGATTTCGTGTATAGGACAAGGAGGAATAACATCTTGTAGGAGTGAGGGAGAGCCAGTTGTGAGTGTGGGGGAAGTTCGTGAGGCAGTAGGTAAAATGAAAGGGGGTAAGGCAGCCGGGATTGATGGGATAAAGATAGAAATGTTAAAAGCAGGTGGGGATATAGTTTTGGAGTGGTTGGTGCAATTATTTAATAAATGTATGGAAGAGGGTAAGGTACCTAGGGATTGGCAGAGAGCATGCATAGTTCCTTTGTATAAAGGCAAAGGGGATAAAAGAGAGTGCAAAAATTACAGGGGGATAAGTCTGCTGAGTATACCTGGCAAAGTGTATAGTAGAGTTATTATTGAAAGAATTAAGAGTAAGACGGAGAATAGGATAGCAGATGAACAAGGAGGCTTTAGGAAAGGTAGGGGGTGTGTGGACGAGGTGTTTACAGTGAAACATATAAGTGAACAGTATTTAGATAAGGCTAAAGAGGTCTTTGTGGCATTTATGGATTTGGAAAAGGCGTATGACAGGGTGGATAGGGAGGCAATGTGGCAGATGTTGCAAGTGTATGGTGTAGGAGGTAGGTTACTGAAAGCAGTGAAGAGTTTTTACGAGGATAGTGAGGCTCAAGTTAAGAGTATGTAGGAAATAGGGAAATTTTTTCCCAGTAAAAGTAGGCCTTAGACAAGGATGTGTGATATCACCGTGGTTGTTCAATATATTTATAGATGGGGTTGTAAGAGAAGTAAATGCGAGGGTCTTGGCAAGAGGCGTGGAGTTAAAAGATAAAGAATCACACACAAAGTGGGAGTTGTCACAGCTGCTCTTTGCTGATGACACTGTGCTCTTGGGAGATTCTGAAGAGAAGTTGCAGAGATTGGTGGATGAATTTGGTAGGGTGTGCAAAAGAAGAAAATTAAAGGTGAATACAGGAAAGAGTAAGGTTATGAGGATAACAAAAAGATTAGGTAATGAAAGATTGAATATCAGATTGGAGGGAGAGAGTATGGAGGAGGTGAATGTATTCAGATATTTGGGAGTGGACGTGTCAGCGGATGGGTCTATGACAGATGAGGTGAATCATAGAATTGATGAGGGGAAAAGAGTGAGTGGTGCACTTAGGAGTGTGTGGAGACAAAGAACTTTGTCCTTGGAGGCAAAGAGGGGAATGTATGAGAGTATAGTTTTACCAACGCTCTTATATGGGTGTGAAGCATGGGTGATGAATGTTGCAGCGAGGAGAAGGCTGGAGGCAGTGGAGATGTCATGTCTGAGGGCAATGTGTGGTGTGAATATAATGCAGAGAATTCGTAGTTTGCAAGTTAGGAGGAGGTGCGGGAATACCAAAACTGTTGTCCAGAGGGCTGAGGAAGGGTTGTTGAGGTGGTTCGGACATGTAGAGAGAATGGAGCGAAACAGAATGACTTCAAGAGTGTATCAGTCTGTAGTGGAAGGAAGGGCGGGGTAGGGGTCAGCCTAGGAAAGGTTGGAGAGAGGGGGTAAAGGAGGTTTTGTGTGCGAGGGGCTTGGACTTCCAGCAGGCATGCGTGAACGTGTTTGATAGGAGTGAATGGAGACAAATGGTTTTTAATACTTGACGTGCTGTTGGAGCGTGAGCAAAGTAACATTTATGAAGGGGTTCAGGGAAACCGGCAGGCCGGACTTGAGTCCTGGAGATGGGAAGTACAGTGCCTGCACTCTGAAGGAGGGGTGTTAATGTTGCAGTTTAAAAACTGTAGTGTAAAGCACCCTTCTGGCAAGACAGTGATGGAGTGAATGATGGTGAAAGTTTTTCTTTTTCGGGCCACCCTGCCTTGGTGGGAATTGGCCAGTGTGATAATAAAAAAAAAAATAATTTCTGAATCATCCATCAGGTCATTTATATAAACTAAAAACATTATAAGGGAAAATACCTGTGGATACCACAGAAGTGGTACCCACTGGTAACATTTCTCTTGCAGATATTTTTTCCTCTACTAATCACTGTTTGAATTTTCCTCTCAAACAGAAAAGGCTCTCATACATTGTACAGTAACAGTTTGTATGCTATTCCTCCTATGCTCTTAAGTTTCCAAATTAGTCTCTTATGGGAAACCCACCAAAAGTTTTCTTAAAATCTAGATAAACACAATCTGCCCATCCAATTTTTTCTTAAACAAATTAACTTGATAAAGGTCCAGGATGGACTAAAACCATCATCTAAAGTTTCCTTTCTAAGTGTGGGCCATTTGTGAATTGCTCCAGTTATGGCTCTCTGACTTTTATAATTCTACATATTTTAATGTCACTTAATACACAAATGAAAACAAATACTGTACTTCAATGTCACATAATAAACTGATGAAAGAAACATTTAAGTATAGAAATGCAGAAATAACTTGGCTCAGGTGATAAAGAATGAATACCTCCTGTACACGATATTATTCATAAAGTATGTATAAACTGTAATTATAAATGGATAATATAATCCAGTAATTAAGACTGACATATTTGCTATGAGTAATATTGTGAGAATAAATAATGATGATAAATCACATTATAAAACAATTAATATATTAACAAGAATTTTCTTAATTTATATACAGAAAAACTGCTAAAAGGAAAATATTGGAGACTTTTCCTGTCCTATTGGTAATTTGGGAATTTCCATGAGATCACTGGCATTTTCTGTCACACCAAACTAAAGCAGAAAAGCTTACAAGCAACTCTATAAAAATAATAGTCCTTCTGTCTATGCTAATTCCCTTATGCCCACAGAGGACCTTTCCTGTATGTCTCCACCTTATCATGCCATGGTGTTAGTTGCCTATCACAAAATAACTACTTTCATTCTTGTGTATTCCTCTTGCAATCTAATCATTCATATCCTTATGATCAAGTGATAATAAAGTATAGTACTGTAATGTATCTCTTGATGTACTCGATTACAAGGGGTAGTAGGCTCTACAACCAGTGGAAATTAAAAAAAATGATTAACAGGGAGATGAGCAGTGTTAAAAAAAGTGAAGACAGGACACCATAAGCATAGCTCTGCTCCTGTGGCTACATCAACCTATTACTTTAAACCATTATTTTCTGCCAACCAAGTTCTTCTATACACTTAACTATATACTACACATTTAAATATTCCATGCAAGTGCCGAATCAATGTCCTTGCCTCTTGAACGTCTGCTCATCACCCCGTGACGTTTCTCACCTATTATGAATGTAAAATAGTGAATTATTTTCAAATAATACTCTGCAACACCATGACTGCACAAATGTCAAAATCAAACATCTTAGTAGTCACTATAGCTCCAAGACACTCGATTTCTGTCCAAACAAATATACCAAAGTATACATCTATTCCAAAATTACTAACCCTCATTATTAAGCCTGCAGAAGGGTTGTATTAACTCTACAAATCTTAAATTATTCTTCAAGCAGAGATTATCTGCATCCTCACTGCACAGGATGGCCACCTGAGGAGCGAAGGCATTCTGAATATACTCGTGAGGGGTTAGTTTACACTGAGCCATTTTCAGGGCTTGCTACAGTGATCATTAGGTGTAGACTAAGGCCGCGTGTAGCGCTGCTAGGACACCTCTACAAGAACATCTCATTGACAGCTTCTCGTCCACCCTCCGCCTTCGCCCCTTGTAAACAGATGATCTTGTGTCATGGTGTCTATATTAACAAGTGAGCGTCACACTCGCTACCACAGATCCTCTTCTGTCATGGCGTCTATAGTAACAAGTGAGCACTGCATCTCCCCATCTCTGCTATAATAATAACTAAGTAAGTAAGTTTATTCAGGTATACATAAATACAGTTACACAGATTATCATACATAGCAGCATATGTGTAGAGAACCTAGGATAACCCAAAAAAGTCAGAGTGACTTATTTCCATTGGGGTCCTTTTACATTATTATTATAATATAAAGGTTATAATATCTTATTATTATTCTATAATGAAGATAACATCTTATTATCATACTAAAAAGGCTATCTACTACACGAGGGTCATTAAGACTATCTACAATACGAGGGTCATTACTAGGAATAAAGTAAAATTACACGTGTGTTAGCTAAAAAATAAAAAATCATTCCCCTCATTTTCTGTTTACCTGCAGTTTACCTGGAGAGAGTTCCGGGGGTCAACGCCCCCGCGGCCCGGTCTGTGACCAGGCCTCCTGGTGGATCAGAGCCTGATCAACCAGGCTGTTGCTGCTGGCTGCACGCAAACCAACGTACGAGCCACAGCCCGGCTGATCAGGAACTGACTTTAGGTGCTTGTCCAGTGCCAGCTTGAAGACTGCCAGGGGTCTGTTGGTAATCCCCCTTATGTGTGCTGGGAGGCAGTTGAACAGTCTCGGGCCCCTGACACTTATTGTATGGTCTCTTAACGTGCTAGTGACACCCCTGCTTTTCATTGGGGGGATGGTGCATCGTCTGCCAAGTCTTTTGCTTTCGTAGTGAGTGATTTTCGTGTGCAAGTTCGGTACTAGTCCCACCTGGAAAATCCTAGAGGGACTAGTACCGAACTTGCACACGAAAATCACTCACTACGAAAGCAAAAGACTTGGCAGACGATGCACCATCCCCCCAATGAAAAGCAGGGGTGTCACTAGTCACTGGCACTCTTCTTGAACTGGTTCATGCTATGACTGACTTTGACATGTGCGGGCAGTCTGTTCCATTCCTTTATTGCTCTATTATAATAATAACACAAGGCACAGATCACTCTTTGATGTTCCTCGTGTCCATCTCACACTATGTAATAACGAAATGCACATAAAAGGCCCAGAAATCTGGAATTCATTACCTGTGAATATAAAAGAAACACTGTTTATCAATTCAAGGCTCTTAAAAATCACTTACTCAACCACAACTAAATAAATACTGAATAACTGTATCTCATAAATGTATAACCTGTGACCCTATCAAACTTTTTTTTTTAATTACATTACCTAACAGAATTGTGGAAAATTGCACTTATCTGAATGTAACTCATTGTATACATAACAGAAAATGATAACAAAGATAATTATTATTATCAATGTTACATAGACAAGTAGGAATTTGGGACACCTAGGTCGCAAAAAATGTCCCCCTTCGATACCTACCACTGTCATAACCACAAGTTGCTCTGGACCTATTAATTAAATGAAATATACATACACCAGGAATACTGGTAAATATATAAATTTGTGGACTGTATATTAAAAATAAGAAATGGTTATATATATACACAATTACATAACAGAAGGAAAATATATCTTAATATCACTCACCAATTTGACTGGATATTAAGTTGTATCATACTCAGAAAAACCTCACTAAATTTATGAAAACACTGGCCAGAATTACACACAAATCTAGAGAGCTTATCTGAGGTTTCTGGAGCTGTCTTGTCCAGTCGTCTGATATCTCGAGTTATGTCAAGGTGTCAACACAATTTTAACCTCTAGAGCACGAAAATTCCTTCCCATTACACTAACGTTGTATCCAATTAAAAACCAAGATGGCGAGTCTCGTCTGCCCAGACGCAGGCTTTCCGTTTTCTTTGACATAAATATTATTAAATACAGTATGGCCATCTATTTACATATAAATACTGAATTTCTGGAAAATATATACAGTAATTTCCACAAGAATACTCCATTCTATTGAATGCACAGCAACTCAGCAAGTGACCATATGACCTGACTTTGAAATACTCATTTGTGCTTAATTGTTATTTGTTTACTATCATTTTTACCACAATATATCATTGCTTAGTTAATCTTAAGTTAATTTTAAGCCTGCCCATAATGCTCTGCATACAAGGGGGTTTTGGCATGTTACACTTAACCACTGTGGAAAATACTGTATATATTTTCCAGAAATACAGTAGTTATATGTAAATAGATGGCCATACTGTATTTAAAAGAAATATATTATGGAAAATGAGAAACTGGACCTGCGCCTGCGCAGACAGCAGAGACTCGCCATCTTGGTTTTGAATTTTGTACAAATGTTGGTATAATGGGAAGAATTTTTCGTGCTCTAGAGGTTAAAATTGTGTTGACACCTCTCAAATAGGAGGCAAAATTGGTGGATGTGCATTCCTGCATAACTTGAGATATCAGACGACTGGACAAGACAGCTCCAGCAACCTCAGATAAGCTCTCTAGATTTGTGTGTAATTCTGGCCAGCATTATTTTCATAGATTTAGTTAGAGTGAGGTTTTCTGAGTATGATACACATTAATCTCCAGTCAAATTGGTGAGTGATATTAAGATATATTTTCCTTCTGTTATGTAATTGTGTATATATATAACCATTTATTGTTTTTAATATACAGTCCACAAGTTTATATATTTACCAGCATTCCTGGTGATGTATTTTTCATTTGATAATTAATAAGTCCAGAGCAACTTGTGGATATGACAGTGGTAGGTATCGAAGGGGGACATTTTTGCGACCTAGATGTCCCAAATTCCTACTTGTCTATGTAACTCTGATAAATAATAATTATCTTTGTTATCATTTATTGTTATGTACATAATGAGTTACATTCAGATAAATGCAATTTTCCACAACCACTGTATTTCTTTGTACATCTATGTATCATGTCCAAATTGCTGTACAATAAAAGGTGTTTGAAGCCTAGCCACTGATTGTGGGTACTACAAAGTTGTGTTCTTTCCCCCAAGTACTATGATTGCTTTGGTTCCCAACCTTGACAAAATCGACAGCAAGATAATCTGAACAATGTGAGCAATTTTATAAACATGATTTAGCTTCAGTTGTTTTACTGTCTTCAACATTCAGCATATCCAACTGCTGTAATTCATTCTGCCCTACATGCTCTCTTGGACCCAGGCCCAGGATGAACCTTGCTATTTTGTTCTGGGTGATTTGCAGTCCATCTTTAAGTTTTTTTGTCAAGGCAGAGTACCATGAAGAGCAAGCGTAATCCCTATGCCACTGTATAAGGGCTAGACATAGGGTCCTGCGAGCCTCAGTAGGTAGACACTGTGCTTGTCTATAAGGAACTTCGGTCTGGCATTCGATTTCTCTACTACACTGTTTCCTGTCAATTCTCCTTATATGCATGGGTCAAAGGGGATTCCCAGATATTTTACTGAGGAAACTGAAGTGATGGGCTCCCCATTACACTGGACATTCAAATTATTTACCCTTCTCGGTTTATGTTTCGTGCCAAAGAGAATGGCTTCAGTTTTCCCGAGGTGTAATGATAGTTTGTTGTCTACTAACCATTTTCTGCAGGACTCCAGTTCCAGTGTTAATACATTAGCTATATCTTGTGGGTCTTTACCTGATACTAACAGAGCACTGTCATCTGCATACAGTAGGAGTTTGCACTTGACACTGATAGGCATGTCATTAACATAGCATAGGAATAATAAAGGACCCAGAATACTACCTTGGGGAACCCCACATGCTATCGGCAGGGGTTCTGATTCTACAGTTACATGCACAACGTATACAGGCCTAGCAAACATCAGTGACATACTACTATACAGAAAGCCCCTTTTTATGCAGAGAATTTCGAGAAAATTAGGTCAACTTAGTCCCAGGATGCGACCCACACCAGTCGCCTAACACCCAGGTACCTATTTTACTGATGGGCAAATATGATAACAGGCGTCTTATGGAAACACGTCATAATGTTTTCGGGCAGTACCAGGGATCGATCCCCGGACATCAGTGTGAGTCGAGTACACTAGCAATCGAGTTACGTAAGTAAATTTTGTTCGGGTACAGGTACACATAAATACAGTTACATAAATTATCGTACATAGCAGCATGTATAGATTAATTACCTAGAATAACCCCCCCCCCAAAAAAAAAAAAAAAAAAAAAAAAAAAGTCAAAGTGACTCATTTCCATTGGGGTTCTTGTAATAACTTATTATTTAAACCTTAAAAGTTAAAACAGGTAAGTAACCTTGCTATGTGAAAAGCAGTTACAATAAGGTAAACTGAGTTATTTACATCAACATCAAGATTTTTTTTTAAATTTTGCCACCGAAGTGGCTAGTTTATTGTGCACCCCATATCCATCCTGTGGACGGTGGCGCAAGAGCATATGGATACACGAAAGCCCTAGGAACTAGGCCTCAAAAGGGTTAACAGGTGTACATATGGATTTATATCTACATATCTATAGTTCACTTATCTGTTACAAGCAAATTTAGGAAATTTGTTTAGTATATCTGGTATCTTATTTTTATTAATGAGACGTCTTGACATGTCACATAGGTTATTATACTGTCTATCTCTGTATTCCTCAATAAGTGGACAATTAATTAAGCATATAGTGTTCAAGACAGTGGCCATATGCCTGATCACATAAATAAACTTACTTATTTACTCTTATGCTGTAGAGATAATGTAGTTTACATGACATAAAACACTGTTAGGCACAAAAGAAAGCCACTAGTATACGTATGCATATCGGGCAAACTAAGTTACTTTGACTTTCGGTCATCCTAGGCAATTTACACATGTGTTCAACGATGTATGATAATTGTTGTTATGTGTACTTATACCTAAATTAACTTACTAAAGACTACTAAAGAATTAGACTATTTAGTAGGATTTTTTATGCAATGCTTGCCATTATTTGTACAATAAGAAAGGTAGCTAAATGAACAATGATATAATGTGTGGAAAA